TTGGGCAGATGGGGATTTTCTCTTGGTCCCCAAACCTGAGGTGCTCAGGAATGGTGATTATTGTGAACAGTGCTTGAGGATGCACAGACTGACCACATGGATCCAGCCAAAGACATTAATATCTTGTTTTTATCTCTGCACCACCAATCCTGCAGCCAGTGGCAGGTGAAATAAGCCTCCAGTGGACCAGCAGTGCTTTAAACCTTAAGACCATGCCTGAATTATTTTTGGGTCTGCTTCACCCTTGAGGAAAGCACATTTAGAGCATCCCAGTTTTTGGGCTTTTCTATCTGGGGGCTAGTGCAGTGAAACAGTGTCAAACAGTGTTTGCTGTTTCCTATTTATGTCAGATTAATCCCTTAAAATGCACAGCTGGACACACACACACATTCAAGGATGGTCACGTGGTTGGAGTGTGAGAAACAAAGCAGTGATGAAAACCCATCCATCTGTTGTATTTCCTTCATAAAGCTTCCTAAGGCTCCTCTTCCTCATTAGCAAATCTGGTAATTTATTAAACATGACAAAAGCTGAGACAAACCTGGCTTGGTTTAATCAAATAGACTTACACCCCCTAGAAGTCTGATATCAGCAGAACTTAAACATGGACCCAAACAGGTGGTTTATAGAGATGCACAAAGAGATGGAAATGTCCAAACTGTGGGTGTTGTCAAAAAGGTGGGACTTTGCCTGGGAAGGACACAGGTGAAAAATATTCTGAACAGCTTTGCTCTGGACCGTTTGGGAAAAAGCAGTACCTGTCCTTTTGCAGCTGTGCTGGTAACTGCTCAGAAGGACATCCACCTGCTGACCACTTTCCTGCCCAAAAGGAGAACCTGCAGCCACATGGTTTCTCCCACCTCACCTCCTCTGTTAGCTCCTTCCAGACAGGAGAACCAACCCGATTTTCCATTCTTTTCACAAAGAAAAATTCTTACCATCCCTCATGGCAATCTGGAAGTTTTGCCCTTGGTTGCATGGAAAGCAGGACTTTGGCTCTGTGGAGCCTCCATGCCGGAGGATTGTTTCTGTACAATGCAGAACTCTCATCACCAGACAGGGATGGGAGTGGCAGATTAGCAGGTCTTAAAGAAGAAGAGAGTTGTATGACTAATTTGTCACCAGTATGAAGACAAGGGATTAAAAATTAAGGGCTTTGGGATGAGATAACTAAGTACAAGCACTGATGAGCTTAAATAAAGTATTGGATTTCACAAGGGAAGAAACAATAGGTAATGAGACAAAAGCAAAACAGAAAATGTATTAAAAGAAATTCCATCTATTCATACAATAATCCTGAAAACTTGTCTGATGTTACTGGCACATTTTAAAGCCTTTGTTTGTCAGAAGAGCTTTCATATGTGATCTCTGAATATGTTATAGCCTGCAGGAAGGCTGAGTGGCTTGCTCTGTTCACATATTTATTATTTTACAATTTTCTCAGTTCTTTACATGAACTGACATTTTAAAGCTACCCTTTCAGCAAATTGATTACAATTTGGATAAGTGGAACTTGTTTTGATGGTGGATTTTAGGTTTATCATCGCTGGCAAATGCTGCTCTAAAGAAATCTTTCAACTAAGTCAGCAAAAATCATAGGTCTAGCAAAATGGTTTCTCTTTCTGATTTCACGTAAGAAAACAAAATGAAGGAAAAGAGATTAAACTAATCAAATAATTTGAAATTTGTCTTTGTTCTAAAATTTAAGTGAAAGCCTCAAACAAAAAGTGCTGCAATTCTATAGCCTACATGCTGTTTTAAAGGTAGTGCAAGCCAGAAGAATTCATGCACAATTTAAACTGCTTTTGATAAATATATTCAAATACAATTCTTATAACTCTCCTTCTAAAGTCCCTTTTTTGCCCCCAAATTAAATCCCAGTGAAGTTGGCCTAGTCTTGGCAAGGCCCTTCATTGACAATGCTCACATTTTAATGTATCACACTAGCAAAGTATCTGAATAGTTTTAACTAAATATTCTGGAGTAGTTAGCCTAACTACAGCTTTCCACCCTTAATACCTTTGCATCTTCATCCTACACTGTCGAAAACCACCACTGCAGACATGACCTCACATGGCTGTAAGGCTGCATAGGAAACTTCTTCAGCAAAGCAAACAGGCAATGTCTGCAAGAGCACTCTCCTTTGCCTTTTTTGATATGTTAAATTTACTGGCATTAATGGAATAACAGGATCCTGACTGAGGTCTCTTCACTGATGTCTAACATTAAAGATAGGTAAGCTTTGTTTTTGTGGCCTCCTTTGTAGTTGATTCTTCTTCCTGACGGTCTTCATAGATTATCTTCAGATGACCAATATGATCTTAGTTTACTTTTACCTCATATGTGAGGTCTACTTCCAACATACTAGGAAGCACTAACAGCTGAGTGGATTCAGTCTCCCTAGGGCAAGACAGTGGTGAAACCTAGGATAGATACCTGCTTGTTTGAAGGAGCTGTGTCTGACCATTCACTGACTTACTGCTTATTTTTAATTCCCCCAGTATCAGAAAGGGTACTAAAGATAAACTTAAAAACCCACAAAAAACCCCAAGAACTTTTACTCTTGGTCTCCGGAGAGGACTAGCTCTCTTCAGCAGTAAAAATCAGGATGAATTGCTGTGATTCACTTCTATGGGACTGTCTGGGATGGGCATTCCTCTTCACACTCTGTGTCTGTGATTGGGGTAAGACAGAAATGTTCCAGCATGGGAATGAGCATCATACTGCTTGTAAGTCCTGTCTATGAGATTCCTGAGAAAACCTTGCTTCAAAAAAGTCAGAATGTGGAAACATGAGAGAGCATGGGCAGCAACCTGCATGAGATCCTAATCTTCTAATGTTTCATGGAAAGATTAACTTCATCAGGAGCTGGGTTATGTTTAAAATGATTGCTGACCTACAGTTATCCAGAAGACCCTTTGTTCCCTTTAACCAGTATGCAATCAAATCCTCAGCAGGTCAGAGAGCCTGGCTGTGGAAGATAGCTGTCACTCCTTAGGTGACAGCTGTCTCTTAGTGGCAACGTGAAGCAAAGATGAAGATCTTCTGTTCTGTGCACCTGATGGAAAAAATGGTCTCTAAAGGGTTGTGAACAGGTGCAGTGATAGCAAGCACAACCAGGACACCCGGGTAAAGCAGCAGCAGCAGCAGCTATCTCAGAGCTGTGCTCCCCACACTCCAACCTGTCCTGCTACCATGGTTCACCTCAGCCAGCAGCACAAAAATAAATCAGCCATGGGACTGTGCTAATTCACACACCCCGGTAAGAGAGTGTCCAAGGTCACTCCAGCAACAAGGAGGTGACTGAGCCTGAAATGCTGCTCCTTGACCAGCTTCTGGGTGGAAGTGAGCAGTGGGGTGTCTCGGGACCTGCCCCTAAAATGTTTTCCAAGAAGATCCTGCAACACCAGGCAGCACTACCCTCTGTCAGTTTAGTAGGGTTTTGTCTTGTGTTTTGAGCATCCAGAGTTTAGCAGAGGGCAAATAGACAGTTTAGGAGACTCAGAGGGGATTAGAGATGAAATTAAAGCAAAAACAAGCGTTGGTCTTAGTATGTAAGGTGATACCATGTGGGAGTATACAGAGGCTGGGGAGAGAGGAGCCCTGATGGCTGCTTAACTCATTCTTCTGGTTTTCACTGTACTGAACAGCAGTGCTGTCAGCACCTGCAATAAGAGATGTTCCACATGACTTAAAATCCATTTTGGCTCACTACTGTATCAATCTTTAGCTGCTGCCAACCGCTTACTTCAGCTTCAACTTCTACCAACCAGCTTCCCAAGCTGCCTTGGTGGGGCTGGCAGTATTGGTCACACTGCCTGCTTCCTGGTGTTTGCAGGAGATGGCAAACATCAAGGGCTTTGCATCCTCAAGGAGGTCAATGGGTTGTTGATCCTTCAGGGCTTTTGGCACTGCAAAAATCATTGGCATGCTGGCATGAAATCAGCTATCCCACCACGTGAAGGATGAGCCACCAGCCATAACCAGATGTCAATGCTGTGGTCAGCAAGGTTGGGGGTGAGTTCTCTGGCAGTCAGCTGGTGAAATGCCACCAGCTTCCCATCCACAGGGATTTGTGCCAGTCAGCGGCCTGTCACCAGGATGGTGGTGGCTCACAGAAAGCATGGCCACGCATTCCCACAGTGCTTGTTTGGTTGGGACAGCTGCTTCAAATCCAATAGGAGAAAAATGCGTTTTACTTGCAGCAAACAGAGTCCTAGGATGGGTCCTGAGCTGTCACCCACTGTCACAGCCCCCACTGTACGTGGGCATTTGGTCTGTTAGGAATTACTGCAAGAGGAGCAAAGCCCTTGGAAAGGCAGGACTGAGAGGGTTTTTCCAGGTTGTTTCCTCTAAAGCCTTTTTCATCCCTGAAGACTCAAATTCTGCTGTCCTGCTGTCAGAGTTACATGGCTGAATCAAGATCTGAGGTGATGGGGGAGCCCTGAAATGCGCAGCGTTGTCAGGAGCTGGGCGTTGGGAGGTGCATACGTGAGAATAGGATCCAGTCCTGCAGTTGCCTTAGGGGAATCAGTGTTATTTTCCTATTACTTTACTGCCTCGATGACAAGGCAAACAAGGGGGAAAAGGGGCTGGAGAGGGCTAAATCTCTTCCTTTTATTTCATTCCTTTCACAGATCAAAATCCTTTCGTGCAACTCCCAAGCTGGGGAAGAAAATG